ATATGGCATAGTGACTGGAAGTTCAGACGTGTGCTCTTCCGATCTCCCCAAAACCCCAAAACCCCATGTTGAAAAATAGAAAAAATATTCATCGAGCTAAATATTAAATATCGTATATCTTATCAATTCAAATTTTAATAAAGATTTCTAAAAGATGGACAAGAAGAAAGATACCAAGAAGACTGCTGCTGATGAAGAGTAGGCTTTTATACCTTTGACGTTCTAATTGAATTCTTTTTAGAGCTGACAACGTTGAGATTGATGAGGAGACCAAGAGAGAGGCTAACGGCAAGAGAGTCGTTATCGATAAAGAGACTGGCAAGGCAAAGGAGGTCGACGCTTATGATAGAGGAGAAAAGAAGAAGAAGAATCCAGAAAATGCCAAAGCCATATTCTCCAGCAACTTGGAGCAATCTATTATTCCATAGAACATTAGTAATTAAAGCCATATTAACTTTCATTAGAGCCAAACCCCGAGACCCCAGATGATGAGTTCGAGGTCGAGTATGTCTATGGATATAGAACATTTGATTGCCGCTAAAACCTGTAAATAAAATCTTAGTAATTCCCCTTAGAAAGTACAACCACAAAGGCCAAGCCGTATTCATGGTAGCAGCCTTAGGTATTGTTTTGGATACCGAGAAGAATGAGATGAAAACATTCGGAGGTGTTGAGACAAAGATGGTAGCCAAGAATGTTGCAGATGATTCTAAGTTCCATATGGATGATATCCTCTCCCTTGATGTGAGTCTTGACAGAAGACTTGTTGTCACAGGCCAAGTTGGAAAAGCTCCTTCAATCCACGTTTGGGATTCTGAGACCTGCGAATCCCAATCTTTCTTCAGACTTAAGGAAGGATCTAGAGGTGTTGCTGCTATTTCTCTCAGTCCATGTCTTAGATATGTAGCCTGTGTTGATCTCCACAACGATCATCATGTAGTTATATATAACATCAAGAGAAGCAAGCAACTTCTTGTCATTGAGGGCAGTAAAGATAAAATCATTCACTGTGCTTGGTCAAAGAAATAAGATGATTTGAGATTCTGTACTGTTGGAGTCAAGGAAATCAAATTCTGGAACCCAGCTGATGCCACCAAGAGACTATTCGCTAAAGGAACCGTTGGAGGTAAAGCTCAACTTACCAGCTTCAATTCAGTTTGCTTTGACGTTGAAGGTACTTCCTATACCTCTGGTGCTAACGGCCTAATCTATGTTTGGGATGCCAACTGTCAATTCGATAGAACATTGAAGGCTCATACCAACGAGGTTACTGCTTTAGTACATGAACAAGGAAAACTTATTTCTGGAGGTAAAGATAACAAACTTGTTATCTATGCTGCTCAAGGTGGAAACTATACTTTGGAAAAGACTATCGATTTCGAGACTTCATATCCAAGATCAATTGATTACTTCAATGGAAAGATCCTAGCTGGTCTCAGAAGTGGAAGTATTTATGAAGTTGATGAAGCTACTGAGGAGAGAAAGTAATTAATGGCTTCCCATCACGAAGGTGAAGCTTGGGGTCTAGAAGTTATTCCAGAGGATAACTGCCTCATGACCGTTGGAGATGACAACAAGATTTTGATCTTTGATTATGAACAAAAGAGATTCGTTAAAAAGGGAACCCTTTCAGAGAAAGACCCAAAGAAGGAAAAACTCAAGAAGGTCACTGCTTCAACTCTATCAGTTTATCCACCAAACCAACAAGGTAGAGCTGTTGCATATTGCAGAGGCAGAGGTCATATTGCTGTCAGTAACAACATTGGAAAGATCTCTATCAGACTTAAGGAAAATCTTGATACTAAAGTAGCAACTCTTAGAGATCCAGATGAATGGTGTGAGGTCTTGAGATATTCTCCATGCGAGAAGTATCTTGCTGCAGGCTCCCACGATAATGCAGTATACATTTATGATGTAGAGAATAACTATTCCCTTTATGCTAAATTTGCTAAGCACAATTCTTTTGTAGTTTCTGTTGATTGGTCACAAGACTCTACTTACATTAGATCAGTGTGCGGAGCTTATGAAAAACTCTACTATAATGTAGCCAACAAGGAATTCGATGCTGGTGGTCTTTCAAACACTAAGGACACTCAATGGGCTACAATCTCCTCTAAGGTAGGTTGGGATGTTGAAGGTATCTATCCATCTGGAGAGGATGGTTCCCATATCAATGGTGTTGATGTTTCAACTGATCGCACTCTTGTAGCTACTGGTGATGATTTCGGTCTTCTAAACGTTTACAGATATCCAGCTCTCAACCTTAAGCATAAGGCCAGAAGTTACAGTGGTCATAGTGAGCATGTTGTCAGAGCTATCTTTACACCAGACGGCCAGAGAATCTTCACTATTGGAGGTTACGATAAGGCTGTCATCCAATGGAGACGCAAGTGAGATAATACATTCAGATATTATTAGAGATAGTTTCAATATAATTACATAAATTAAATAAATTAAAGCTATATATTTAGTCATCATTTTACAACATTAAAGGATCTTCTGCTTTGATATTCACTATGTCTCTCTGATTTCATTGGAGACTAGGAATTGAAGTTTTCGTAGTAATCTGTAAAAAATATATTTTGGCGATAAGATTCATCATGATTCTGCCCCTCATTCAAGTTAATATAGTCTTCTCGGTATTATCTCTGGAGATAAAAATGATGAAAGATTAAAACTATTATTGATTGAAGACAGGAAAGGTAAAAACAACAAACTTCAACCACAATCCAAAGATGTAATAGCTAGTTTTCCAAAGTATTTAATTTGCAGTCTGAAAGATATCCAAATAGAAGCACCTGAGCGTAAACAAATACTCCAAGGCCATAGCATCCATTTATTGAAAAAAGCATTGAGGCGATTGGTTTGAATTGACTTTCTCTGATTTGAATTAGCTCATTAATGTTAGAAAAAGATTCAATTGCATGGTAGGCGAATAGCAACCAAAGTAAAATGTTCAAATCAAAGTGAGAAAACCCATAGTTGCTTCTTTGAGATTCATTGATTGAATTATTGGTGATAAGTGGTATAACTTTGCCAGATTTTTAGCATTAAAGATCTGAAGAAAATGTTTGCAAAAATACCATATTAGCTGAAGCAAAGATTATAGAAAATGATAGGTATATGATCCTGAGTGTATAGAAGCATCTTTTGTACCTCAGAGTCATCAGGAAAAACTCTCTGCTAAAATCTTCATCTCTCTGTTATTCTTATCTTTTTATCTACTCCCTTCTTCTTTGTTACTATACCTAATTTATATAGTAGGAGTTAGGTAGTTTTATGGAGCTTTTCTCACTTTGAGGGATAGATAAGACTTGTTTAGACTAAATGGTTGAATATTCAGGTCGCAAAGGTTCTTTCAGTGATTTTCTCATTTGAATGATTTCTATTGATATTTAAGATATAATAAATTTAATTCTAAGTTTTTTGATTCACTTGCTATGTGGGGTTTTGGGGTTTTGGGGTTTTGGGGGATCGGAAGAGCG